ACATGTTATTATCTTTGTAATTATCAAAGGTACAATTACCCTAGTTTGAGATCTGGAAAGGCAAACCGAAGGGGAAATTTGAAGTCGAGTGTATAATCAATGAAGCAATTAAATCCCAAATACAACTAAGGAAACGAAATTCAATCACTGCCTCCGGATATTGTGTTGTAATTGAACATATTCGGGTAAATTCGCTATCATCGCCTTTTCAGTAATCCCCAACTCAAGTCAATTATCCAACTGCTTACATCCTGTCCCAAAGGAGTGAACAAAGTCATAACCTACGTTCCATTCCCAACCTTCCTACCCTGACCAGTCTCCATTTGCTCCCCAAACAAATCAGCGTATCAAACAGTCGAACGTGCAAGCCGGCCAAAATAAATAAATCTTCAAATGGATTTAGTAAATCGTGTTCACCAATCAGTTGCAGTCCACCTTGCTTGACAGCTCAACTCAATCAACAACGTCGGTGATCTGTTGGTTTTGTGAATTAATTCATTTGTCATTGAAGTTTGGTTAATTAATTCATTTGTCATTTGTTCGGCAAATCATAGCCCTAATTGTAAGTAAAATTAAAATGAGGACTTACAACCAGCGCCACCGGTAGGACCAGGTCCACCCTGACCTCCTCCAGCTGAAATTGTCAAGGGATTTTTGATAGAACTCGAATCATTTGCAGAAGCTGGAGCTTCTGGAAATTAGTTTTGCATGTTTTACTGTGTGATTGTTTGAATTTCTACGAGGCGGTGAGAGACTTTCAATATGCCCGAGAGAACAATTTAGGCTGCGTGCAATTTCCTGTTGAAAAGCGATGTTTTATATATGAAATTTTGGAGGTCACGGAACATTGCGTACGTGTTGTAATTAACACCTGTGTCTATTCATTCGTCATGCAGGAAGAGTATTCATGAAAAGTTAATCACGCAACACATAAATTACTTGACAAAAACGTAGCCCTAAGTAGAATTAAAATAAGGACTTACAACCAGCGCCACCGGCGGTACCAGGCCCACCCTTACCTCCTCCAGCTGAAATTGACAAGAGATTTTTGATAGAACATTTGCAGAAGTTGGAGATTTCGGATATTAGTTTTGCATGTTTTACTGCATGGTTATTTGAATGTCTACGAGAAAGCGAGAGATTGTTCTTTTGCCTATGAGAACAACTTAGGCCTAGTGCAATTTCCTTTTGTAAAGGGATCTCCTGGACACGAAATTTTGGAGGCTATGGAACATTGCATACGTGTTGTAACTAGTAGCTGTGAACATTCATCCGTCATACAGGAGGAGTATTCATGAAAAGTTAATCACGCAACACATAAATTACTTGACGAAAACGTAGCCCTAAGTAGAATTAAAATAAGGACTTACAACCAGGGCCACCGGCGCGACCAGGTCCGCCCTGACCTCCTCCAACTGAAATTGACTAGATATTTTTGATAGAAATTGAACCATTTACAGAAGCTGGATCTTTTGCAGATTAGTTTTGCATGTTTTGCTGCATGATCATTTGGATGCGAGAGATTCTCATTATGCCTATGAGAACAATTTAGGCCTGGTGCAATTTCCTGTTATCAACGGATCTTTTAGACAAGAAATTTCGGACGTTACACAGCATTGCACCAGTATTATAATTAACAAGTGTGAACATTCATTTGACATATAGGATATGTATTCAGGGGTTATTCAAAAAAAA